AGGAGAAAAACTACCTGCATTGGGATAACTAAGCATTCCTCACTCCAGAGAAAACTCCTCTGAGAGAAGAATATCCTGACCTGTGTTTAAGCAGCACTTTCTCCCATTTGGCATGGCATGATCACTGAAGAACCATCTACCCTTTTCTCTGTCTGTCCATGCTTTCCTCACTCATTTGCCTGGGTAATTCCCACTCATCTTTGAAGACGTCTCAACCACCTATCCTTCTTGGAATGAATTCTTTCTTTCTGCCTTAATTCCATGAATGCCTTATCCCATAGCCTGTTCTTCTTCTTTTTAACCATAGTCATAAACATCTCTCACTGTAATTATTTAATTTTGCCACTGGACTAATCACTCTCAGGACTTTCCAGCACTTTTTTTTTTCTTTTCATCCTGAACACCTAGCACAGGGCACAGTAAGATGTCAGGAGGTATTCCTTGAATGGATAAATGACCGTGGCTGTGGACAGCATCCAAGATAAGGACTGCAGTAGGGGACAAAAGGTCACACTGTGTCCTAGATGTCCCGGCCTGTGACTCAAATGGCCAATGACATCTTTTCTCTGCTGGAAATGTGAGACGTAGATAGAGTTGAGCTTTTCTGCAAATGAAATCCCTGTGTAGGCTCTGGGACTTTGAAGCAGGGTGCCTGTTGTAGGAAGTGTAAACTGAAACCATTGTGCTCTTCATCTCTGGTCGCTAGTACTTAGCCATCTCATGCAACTTCATTTTGGTTTTCTTTGTGATTCTTAATCTCTACCATTGGCAAGAGGAGAGTGAACAAGAAAAAAGTCTCTGATGTTTCACGGCAGCTTGGCAGCCACTCACAGCTTCAGAAATCTGGGACCATCCCAATGTTCTCTGCTTGGTGGCATAGCTCCAAGTGTTTTAGCTCTGAAAAATGAGCTCAGTTTCTGTCTGTGAGCTAACATATGCACTTTCCACACACTCCGGTGTTAACTATGTGAATATAGTGTCCTGGAATAAAAACGCTAGGGCTGAATGGGCTCCTTGAAAGCATAGTCTCATTTTTTAACTGAAAAATATGACATCCAGAAAAGTGAGATTATTTGCTTAAGATCACACAACGTTTAGTAATAATAAGAGAAAGAAGATCAGGAGCCAATGCCTGTGTCCAGTCTAGTGCTAGTTCTAGACACCACATGACTATCCTTTCCAGTTTTGAAGAGAAAACTTGACTTAGATTAGATTAGATTAGAGTAGGGAGAGGGAGTCAATTTCCCATTGTGTGAGAAGGAGATGGAATCCTGCAGGGACTGTTATGTAACTTAGGCAGCTATGGAATCTCTCTGAGCATTCATTTATCGTCATACAGACAACAGCAGCCCTCTCAGATGTTTTGACAATTCTACGACATCGTGTCCGCACAGTGACTGGCACTGAGCCTGGCCTCACAGGAGGCTCAGGGAACAAGACCAGTTATTACAATCAAGGATACAGTCCAGCCTTGCTTCTATTCCAGCTCCGGAGAGCTTCCCAGTGGGCAATCAGTGCAGTAACCCATTGGCTGCAGAGCAGTCGAGCAGGACACAATTGAGAAATGCTGAAGAGCAAATCTAGTAAGAAAACAGCCAAATTCCCATAAAGCCTAATTATTTGTGCTGTTTATTAATAGCTCTGCTCTGCCCCTCTCCCGCAGCAACAAATTAGAATCTGACTTGCGGTACTACTCAGGCTATTGAGAGCCTAGTGCATTTCTGCAGGGGGCAGCTCCTGCATAATGCATCCTGGCATCCAAAGGGAGTCTGGATGGCTTCCTGAGCTCAGCTTTCCTTTGTATTTCCCATTATTGCCCGTAACAGCTTTCATTATGATTCGGGCCCCCTTATTGCACATATAAATAAAACTGACAAAGTTGTAAGTAAATCCTTTAGTGGTAAAAGCTGATAGAAGAGGGCAAAAATTAATTTTATGCATGAAGAATCTCATTAAGTAGCTTCATGGAAACAAAAGGAATTGGCATCAGAGACTCTCAGATAAAGGCTTCTCCAGTGTTCCTGTCCCACAGCCTCGCCTCTGCAGAGCCGGTCACCTCCTGCTGCCCATATTGGCTCCAAAGGTCATAGGAGGTGCCAATACTGCACTGTCTAGGAAAGGGTTAGATAGCCTTGGCAGGCAGAGTCCACCTGTCCTTTGGACTTCTTCTATCTACTCTTGCTCCCCAGAGGCGTATTGATCCATGGGCAAAGCCCTGGAGCAAAGCAGCAGGCATCGACTCTAGGGAGATTACATTGTCTCGGCTAAGCAGACACAAGCTTTCAGGACACCTCCTCACCTGCAGTTGTGCCAGCTCCTTTCTGTAGGACTGTGTGGTGCTAATTTTAACCAACCAGGCTGCTCTCTACCTGGGAGGGAGACAAAGTGGGAAGGGCAGGAGTAGAAGGCACCAGGGGTGTTTCCAGCAGAGCCAGGATTCACCTGCTGGTAGCAGGAAATGTACATAGGCTTGATGATCTGCCACGAAGGCCCATGTTTCCATGGTTGATTCTACATTCTTTCATGATTGACTGATACCATGTCAAATCTCTGTATTTTTTTCTCCCTTTGATTCATACTATGTGGTACCAAGGATTCATTATATCTGGTTTATTTTCTCTCCTGCAAAAGAAACTGTTGACATAAAAGGCAAAAATAATCTATCCAGTCTTCCTCTAAGCATTTTCTGACTTCAGACATTGTGTGTCCGAGCTTACATCATGGCCTACACAGGATGGACTTACTCTACATGTAAAATAAATCATTATTGCTTATATTTGGTTTCAGAGTAATTGAAGATCATTTCATAAAGAATTTATTACAATAATTTTGACAAATGACTGTAAATCCATTTTAAACACATGGATATCTGCAGAGAAAATAAAGTTTTGGTAAAAGATTGCGTCCTTATTTTCCAGCATTGGTGAGTGTCACACATGAACTAGATAATCAGATGCCATGAGAAAAAGTGGATACCAGAGAAAACAAACAATAGGAACAAAAACAGGAAGGATAAGAAAGCAACGGGAAAAATATCACTTCAGTGACAATCTCTTATTGGCATAAAACTGCTCCACAGTAATTCAATCTGCAACCCTCTGAAAAGAAGTTGAGCAAATGCTGAACCCGCTAACATTTGCCTGTGATTGTATTTGAACGAGGAGAAAATGCTAGAGTGCTGGCGGGAAGGTAATCAAGTTCCTAAGCGGTGGGGAGTGATAGAGCTGGATTCCAATTCTGACTTCCTCTCTTACCTACTGCGAGAACTTGTCTAAACAGTTCATCTCTCCATGCATTGGTCTGCTTAGTGTTCCTCTGAGAGTACAGAAAGCCTCTCCGTGCAGTTGTACCAGTTTCTCCACGACTAACAGCTCCCGTGAGCCCTTTGGAAGCTGGGATTGCATGTGGAAGGTGAGCCAGATTGTAATCTCTGGGCTTCTTCCAGTCCTGTGGATCTGACGACTCCTTCATCTCACTGAATATTTTCAGTTCCATATGTCATGTCTTCACTTTGATAACAGTACCAAAGGGACTAGAATAAAGAGCAAATGCATTTTGGAAATGTCAGCCCCAGAGTATTGTTTGGATATGGTTTCTAAGTTCCTTTCCAAATTGTTTTCAAAGAATTTAATTTTCTTTCTTAATTATGCTTGCTGATCAAGGCACCTACTTTATTGGTTGGGGATGCCTTTATCTTTATAAAACTCCAAATTCATCATAAGCCCAAACTTAATTGCCTTATTCTCATTTGCTAGATTTGCCTTTTGCTTTGATTGTGATCAGAAAAGGTAATGTTTCAATTTTTTAATGCCTCATTTAAAGTACAAAACTATTAATGAGCTATTACCTGACAATTTATTAGGGAATCATTCATTTTGGGGGGGGCTCTTTCAAAGGATTTATTTGCTACAGAATTGCTTGAGTCCACCCATGAGCTGTACCTTGTAAAAATATTTAGCTCACTGCTTTATTTTACCACTGCTGCAACATGCAACATTTAAAAAGCAATTTTTTTGTGGTAGGGACAACCAACATTTGGCATATCTAGAAGAGGTTAGAAAATGAATCTATATAAAATTAGATATTTAAAAATAGGGAACAAAATGAAAATTTAAAATTTCCTCATTTGGACAGATCCTGAGTTGAAAGCATGTTCATGTGTAAAAAGAACATTTAGATCACAAATACGTAACTATAGATCCTGAACTTGGACTTGACTGATGAAAATTTCCAGGTGCTGTATGAACAACAGAACATATACCAAGCAACTAGCCAATTCTGCCATGTGTCCTACCTACTTCTGAAAACTGTGTAAGTAATGCTTTTTAAATTTTTTTTTCTGGCTGGGTGTGGTGATGCATGCCTATAATCCCAGCCAGCACTGTAAAGGCTGAGGCAGAAGAACTGCTGAGTGTGAAGAGCCAGCCTGGGCTACATAGTGAATTCAAGGCCAGCATGAACTGCATAGTGAGACCCTGTCTCAAAAAACCCCAAAAACCAAAAAACTGTTTTTGGAGAACCGGAGATTGAACCCAGGCCTTAGGCAGGCCAGGCAAGCACTCTATTACTGGGCTACACTCCCAGCCCTATAAATATCTCTTGAACCTAAATTCCCTAGTTCTCTGAAACCAACTGTCTTTTTTTTGGTACTAGGGATCGAATTCAAGACCTTGCACTTGCCAGGCAGGTGGCGGCACCACTGAGCTAAATCCCCAGACCTGAAACCTATTGTTTTAATGTGATTCCCAATACTTTCTTTTTTCTTGGTACATCTTGGTACCAGGGATCAAACTCAGGATCTGGACCTTGCCCTTGCTAGGCAGGCACAACAGCACTAAGCTACATCCCCAGCCCACTCCCAGTAATTTTTCAAGCAAGTAAACAAAAACTGTCCCTGCAAGATCACACACTTAAGTATTTGTTGCCTGTGGACAGATACAGAAAAACCAAGTGTGGAGGTAAATAAGCAGTTCATCGATGTAGCAGGGACTCTCTGGGTGCCTGTGTAAGCTGTACAGCGAGCGTCCCCTCATCGGCTCTGCACCGGCTGTGCCCCAGAGGTGACCATCCAGGTGACATCATCCTGAAGAGGGTGTGAACCCCAGCAGCTGCTCAATGGGTTTAAACCGCCACTCATCAGCCTCCAGCTCTTCTACCAAACCAGCTAGTTTTTCCATCCGAGCAACTTGCTGATCATGCTTCACCTGTTTAAGTGTGGATGCCACCTGGTAACTGAAAACGGACTCACAGAGGAATCTTTCAGAGCCATCTTTTAGCATCTCCCCAGCTCTTTTGGGGTAGTTGAAAAGGGCTTTCCGTGGTGGAGCGAGGTCTGAGACACTGAACCCAGATCCAGAGACAGAACTTCCACTGACCCCACCAGCTGAGGAGGACGATGAAGAGGCAGCCATTTCCTGGAGTAGAACTGACTTCCCTTAGCGGCTTTAGCACTTTCCCCCACAGCCCCGCCCCCAGAGCCAGCCAGAGTGGTCGCGCTCACAACCACGAGACAGTGGGCACCCCGAATCATTCATTTTTATTACATGTAGATTATTTTAAGTAGTAATATAAAATCTATGTAACCTGTTTGCTATTCTTTTAAAAATGTGAGCTCAAAATTGCTGAAAATGTGAATTTAATTATTTATTCTCAGACTTTTTTGTGGTTGTCCGTTTCACTGTTTGACAAAGCTGAAAGGTTTCTCCTGGTTTTCCAGACTTTGCATACATCCCACCCATTGTGGGACCTTAGGTAAATATAGACTCTTGGGACTCACCTGTACATATTTTAGACTATGGTTTAGTGATTTTTTTTAATTACTCATCTGCTGCTATCTTATGAATTTGTATTGGAAGAGCATTAACCTAGTCAAGACCTCACATTACACAATTGGAGAAATTAAAGAGCGTAGAAGTTAAGGGGACTATGAAGCCCACAGAGCTAGATAATGACAGAGCAGGCCTCTAACTGCCAGGGCTCTTCTGAACCCACCTCCTAAATACTGCTCCTAGGAGCAAATGGCTTGGTATTGTATTTGTGAGATTTTACCAGTAATTTCTCTAACATCTGATGAAAGGTGTAGAAGATGCAGCAGTAATCCTAACCCAGAAAACAACACTGCAATATCAAAAGAGCGAAATACCTAGATGATAGTGGAAAATGCCTCTAAGAGAATCCATGTTTGGAGACAGTGGCAAGACATGAGAAATCCCAGTTTTGCTTTTCTCAGTAGTTCTTTGAATGTAACCCACTTATCTGATATTCTGTGTCTTAGTATAGCCAACCAAGATACTGCTTATTTCACACCCACTTCTGACTCCTTTATTAATGGTCCAAATACCACATAATAAAGGATGCTACTAGAGAACAGTGTTATAAAATATTTTTCTGAGAGAGGGGATGTGGGTGACGTCTCAAGTCTTGGAGAAGCCAGATACTCTCAAGGAGATAGATACATGTCCAGACATCTATCCCTGTCTTTCCAATACTGGTGATTGTGGGGAAAAGCAGCTGAATAATTTGAAGTGTCAGAAGTTGTCCAATAGCTGCAGATTGGCTGGAGTTAGAGCTGATGGAAATCTGCATTCTGTCTCAGCAGCTGTAAACTCCTACTTTTTGTTCCTTTCTTCTTGTTGTGGATCTCCATCATGAGGATAGCAGAAACTAATCCCTTCCTGTTTTCAAAATTTGAATGGCTTGAGTTCCCCTGAAGGGACTCAATAAAAAGATGATTTTTATGTTAAAAGATTATTTCATTCTGAGCTTCATTTTCCTCATTGGGAAAATGTGAAAATTCAGCTGTTAGCATAGTGCTTGGATAGCAATACAAATCAATAAAATAATTAATAACTACTGATAGCTTCTCATCACTGTTAATTATTAAAATTTTTGATGCAGAATTGTTTTTGTAATGAAAAACTCCAAGAACTTCTGCCATATGCAGAAACAGATATGCTCCGTCTGAGGAGCCAGCAGTTTTTAAATCTCTGCTCCCAAAGCATTTTGCCTTTCATATTTCAATCAGTGCATGTTGCACAATTTATTGCACTTCCTTTTTTTTAGATGCCTCTCAAGGGCAAATGTCATGATTTGTCTGTGTATCCTAATGCAGTACATGGCACATACTAGGTGTCCAGGAACTGCATGGTGAATGAATGAAAAAGAGCCTTTCAAGCTCAGGAACAAACTAGGAAAGTATGGCAAGTAACACAAAGCTTCCATTTGAAGAGCCAAAATCACTCTACCCTTGGAGTTCTGCTTTTCCAAATTACGAAAGATATATAATCAACTTTCTTCTCCTCCAGCTTGCCTTGTAACTCACACTGCTGTGGGTTAGATGCTTTGGCAGAGATAAGGCAAAAAACCATTCTGTCAAGCTTGGCAACTTGTTATAAATTTGGAGACTGGGTCTACTCTTTGTTTTCATATATATATATATATATATATATATATATATATGAGACAATCTTGGCTCTCTTTTATCTTTACTGGAATCAAATGGTTGTAAATTTTTTTCAGGCTTCATTTTGTTCCCTTTTTTTATGAAGGAAGAGGGAAAATCACATAGGTGAGAGCTTTTACCAAGCTGGCCTTCTGAGGCTGTCTGAACCTTTATTTCAGAAAGGATAGTTTGAAAGAAAGCTTTTAAGAATTCAGAGCTTTCCACACAAACACATCACATTGGCTTCTTAGTTTGATAGCAATTCCTAGGAAGGCACAAGTGACCTATGCATTTATTCAATAAGTACATGTTATGGTTCCAGTAAATTAGGCCACGATTTTTCTCTTGCAGTAACATTTGGAGATAAACCACTAGGTATGCGGAAGAGCTTTAACAGTTCTCTAGAGCTTTAGGAGACCCTTAATCCTCATAGAAGCCACCAGGGATCATATCTTCAGGCCTTGGCAGGTACTGTGGCCACTCCAGATGATGTGAGGGGAAAGAAACAAACATTATGCTCTGCTCCCCAACTCTCCATCCCAAATGCATTTATGTTCATCTTGCTGACTCTCAGCCCAAGCAGAACCTGCCCACTTTGATTTCTTCTTTTTTCTTAATGATTTCCAAAAAGTAATAGATGAATTGCAAATATAGGAATAAACACAGAAAAGAAGATACACCATAAGTAATTTTTAAACAATTCATCTGGAAAGCTTATGCACAGCTGCCTATGAATCCGAAGGCCATTACCAGTCCTAGAAGGATAATATCCCCACTTCCTGCTCACTGCATTTATCTTCTCTGCTTGGCAGAAGAAAACCATTCTGCTTTGCCTAGCAGGAGGCCAGGGACCAATTTTCATCTCACCTTCTTTCATCCGAACTCATACCACCGCCTACTAGGGCACTTGCCTGGAATGCTCAATAAATATTTGTATACTTTACTCAGCAGTGCTGTTTTCCACTGTATTAATCAAAACAAGACAAAGCCATTTGAAACTAAGATATCTGCAGTAAGAGTCTATTTAGAACAGTGGCTAGAAGGATTCTAAGTGTATTTAGTAGAACAGCGTACCATGCCATTTCATAGTAAGCTTTTCATGGAGGTATGACTTTTTGCTCCCCAAATCAATACAGTTCTTCTATTGTTTACCATTCCCTGGTGGCTATTTGTAAAAATCAGAGCATCTTACTAGTTTCCTACGTGACCTCAGAAAAATTACTTAACCTTGGACATTTATTTTCTTATCTATGCAATGAGAAGGTTGGAATAAATTATTCCTAAATCTTGACCAGTTAAGGTTTTCTTAAGTACCAACCTTGCTCTGTCGGCAAGCCTTGCCTAGAGCACTGGACTGCTAAAAGTTAAGAAGCTCTATTCGTACTCAGAAAAAGTGTGCTTGTGTCAAGTATCTCTGTCTGTGGTCAGAATGAAGGGAAGGATGAACTGTTGGCAGATTGAGTGCTATGCACATACCTGCCAGTCATGTTTTATCCCTTACCAGCTGTGTTGCCGTGGACAAGATAGCATAGTATTAGGACTTGTGAAATTGTGAGGATTAAATAGAGTGATATGTCCAAGGAACTTAGAACCATGGCTCAAACATAAAATACGCTCAATAATGGCATTTTGTGGTTGTTTATAAACCTAAAATGTTTCTCAGTTCTGACATGTAATTATTATAAGTCAACCTCTGTAGTTGATGAGAAATGCTAGATCAGTGTTTTGCTGCTCATGGAAGTACTTGATTTTAAATAACCTCTTAAAAAGTATTATTAGTAATTTGGTACTGGGGGTTATGAACAAAGGGAGTTAAGAGAGTGAAAATTAGATAAATGGAATTCTTTTCCTCGTAGTGACAAAGACTCATAGCCAAACTTTAGTCTATCTCCTGAATTACTTTAGGACTCATTTGTACATTTTCTTGTAGAATTCAATTTAGCAAGAACCCCTAGATACCCTAGATATCTGATTTCCCTTGATAGGAGTCATCTTCCTCTATCATTCCTCAGGTGCTGTCTGATCGCCCTGTTATGCCTTCTGCAAAAATTCTATTAGACATAATCCTATGAGCCATAATCTCTTACTCCTAGCAGAAGGAATTTTCTATCTACTAACCCCAATATAGGTCCTTGGCTGCAAATTCTGTCTTGTTCATGCTGTATTCAGAGTTGAGTCTACTCAACTCCATTGTGGTAGTCCCAGGTGTGGTTAATTGTGTCAGACTGATGGGCTTGAAAAAATCCCAAGACATTAGAAAAGCACATTTCTGAGTGTGTCTGTGTGGGTCACGGGGCCCTGTCTTTGGAGATTATATCTGGTTCCCTGGCTCCTTCTCAAACTCTTACTCCTCTGCATTTGTTTCCTAGAAAAAAACAAATCAATCAGCTTTCCTCCACTACACCCTGTGGTCCTGATATTTCTGTCTTGGAACCAACCAACCATGGACTGAAACCTCTGAAACCATGATCCAAAATAACCCTTTCCTCTTTTAAATTGTAGATATCAAGTGTTTTGTTCTAGCAATAGAAACTTGATTGATACACACACTCCCTGTATATGGTGTGATGCTGCTGAATAAAGTCTTCCTATGTTTTAACATGTATCATTGTATAATTACTCTTTAATAATAACAAGTTACCAACAGGCCAATACTATTTCAATATAAGGTAGACCTCCAAGTAATTGTAAATATAACTGATCATCATTCTTTTCTTTGTTATTTATTAATTTATGAAATATATAATTAGGCAATATCTATTATATTTCAGACACTGGAGATGTAATAGTAATTTAAACAAATAAGAGTTATATTCTCAAAGAATTTAATTCCGTTGAGAGCTATATGGAATAACCAGGTACACAAAAGAAACCAGTCTCAGACAGTGCAAATTGCTAGAATGACAATAAAGTAGTCACCAATAGGAGATACTTTATAGTATGTAATCAGAAAAAGATTTCTCCGGAGAAAAATATATGCACCATATCCAGGTTCATAGGTAGGAATCAGATTATGTGGGCAGATAAAGAAGATTGTTCCAGTGCCAAGGGCCTTCATAAAGTAGCTTA